TAATTTTCTGATCTTTTCTGAACCAATCCGGACCTATCCGAACCCAAATTTCCAAGGTTGTTCCTGGAACAGGGTATTCCAAGTAGATTCATCCTAAAATTTAATATATTATAATATTGATTCTAGTAATTTTGCAAAAATTCCAGAAAAAAATGAGAATTTGTAATTTTTTATTTAATTTTGTAGAGTAAAATCTAATAATATATATTTTTTTAAAATTTATATTTTTTTTAATTTTTTTAGTAACTTATTATATATTTATAATATAAAACTAAAAATAATTTTGAGAAAAAAGTTAAAATATTTACTAATTTTATTTATGAATATTATTTAAAAATAAGTTATATAAGTATTATTTTGTCTTTTATAATATAAAAAAAAATATTTATTTAGAGTAAGAAAGTATTTTATATTAGAAAAATAAAGAGATACTTATAAAAATAATTATGAAATGATTATAAAAATCTGTTTAACTTTATAATAGATTATTTTTATATAATATATTAGCTAACTAATAGATAATAAGTTAAAAATATTTAAGTAATTTTATTATATTTAAATTAAGTAATTATATAATAATATTATTTTATATTTTTTTTCTTATATTTAAATTAATTCTAATTTAAAGTATTTAGATAATAAAAGTAAATTTAATCTTTTTAATATTTAATATTAAATTTATAATTTTCTAAAATTATAATTTAGCATGTTAATTTATTAAAAAATTTTTAATTTATTAAATAAATTTTATAAAGTATTATAATTAATTATTAAGATAAAAAATTATTTAAATATAAGTAAGATCTAAATAATTATATAATTTATACTATTACAAGATATTATAATTTAGTTACATAATAATTCTTTTTAATATTATTAATTCTTTTATTAATATAAATAATAATATATTTTATATTTTTTTTATCTTTTTATATTAAAATTACTTTAAGTTTAAAACTAAAAATATCAATATACAAGATAAAAGACTTTTTAAAGTCTGAATAAATTAAGATAAATATAGTTATTCTTTAATTTTTCAAATATTTCTTGATATTTAAAAATTTATTCAAAAGATTATTTTTATAAAATTTATAAAATTTCTTAAAATAATTAAGTTTATTAATCTAAAAAATAATTTTATAATTAATATTTTGATAAGATCAGATTTTAAACTATCTTTATTAATGATAAATTTAAGAAAGATAATTTTTTATAACTATTTTAACAAATTTATAATAATTTATTATAATAATATTTTTTTATTTAGTAATATTAAAGAAAAATATTTTGAATATTTTCATATTATTTTATTTTATAAATATAAATTATATATAAAGTTAAAGAAATATAAGCTAATTAAATAATATATCAAATATTTAAATTATTTCATTTTTAATCAAGAAATTTTTAAATCAATAAAAATTACTATATATAATTAATTCAAATTAATCAATATTTTTAAATTTTATTTATTCTTAAATCTTATTAATTACTATTAAAAATTTATTATAAATTTTTTTATAATTATTTTATTACTTATAATACTATTTTATAAGAATTATAAATATAATTGAAATAAAGTAAAACTATATTAATCTTATTAAATTCTAAACTATTATTTATAATTATTATTAATATATTTAAATTTATTATAAATATTATACTTAATTAAAATTATAAAAAAAGATTAATTTATTATTTATAAATTATATAAATTATTCTTTATTATATAAAATTATTTAATTTATAAAAAAATTACTTGCTATTATATATATTATTTATTTTTGAAAATTTTACTTAAAAGAATAATATTTTATTATTATTATTGATTATATATTATTTAAATATATTAAAATATAATATAATCTTTCTAAAAGATAAGCTTATTAACTTAAAACTTTATAAGCTAATAATTTTATTATTAAATATAAATCAGATAAGAAAAATATTATTATTAATATATTATTTTATCTATTTCAAGCAAATGATATAAAAATAATTTTTGTTTAATTAATCAATAAAGAAAATTATAATAAAAATATTAAGAAGATAAATATTTTAAGAAAGTTTGAATAATTCTATATAATTTTAATATTATTATATTCAAATAATAAGCAAGAATATATTATTTTAAATTAAAAAATAATAAATTTTATATGAAGAATATAAAATAATTTATTATTTTAAAGAATAAAATATTAAAAATATGAATTTTAAAAGAATATTATAATAGTTTTATTACTAGTTATTTAAAACTTATAAGTAATTGTAATAATATTATTAATAAAAAATATTTAAAAATATTTATAAAAATATTTTAAATTATAAAGAATATTAAAGAAATAAAAATGATAATTAATTATTTTCAAAACTTTTATAATTCTTAAATATATTTAAATAATATTAGATAAATTACTATAAATTTTATCATATAATTACTAATTATTTATTAAAATTATAATATAATTCTTATTATTATTAATTATTTTATATAATTATTATTATCTTTAAAATTATTAACTATTCTTTATTAATATTTTTAAATTATATGAGCTATTTTATATTATAATTTTTAATTATAATATTAAATTTATTATTTATTTTTAAAAATTTTTCTTTAAATAAATTGATACTAAGTTAATTATATTAATTATATTTTATTTATAATCAAATAGATAGACAGAAAAAATAAATTATATATAAAAGAAAATATTATACATATATTCAATTTATAATTAAAATTAATAGAATAAATATCTTGTTATTATTAAATTTATCTGTAATAATTTTATATAAGTTTTATCAGAATATATATTATTTAAATTAGATTATAATTAATATTATATCATATCTTTAATACTTATCTCAAATATTAAAATTATTATTATTAATAATTTATTTAATATTGAAATAATATTATTAAAAATACTAAAGACTTATTAATAAAAGTACAATTAAAATATATTAATTAATATTATCACTATCAAGAATTTAAAATAAGAAATCAAATTTTATTTTTAACTTATAATATTATTAATAAATAAGTAATATTTTAATAAAAAGCTTATATTAAAATATATTAAATTCTTTTCTATTATCAATATTATTTTATCTATTATATATAAATTAGATCTATTATTATATATAAAATATATCCTATATTTTATAACTTATTATTAAAGCTATATAATTTTAATAATAATAAAGAATTTATATATTTAATATTATCACAAGTCATAATTATCTGAAACTGAGAAAGAAGAATTTGAAATCAAATTAATTTTAAATAAAAGAATCATTTATAATAAGTTTTAATATTTAGTAAAATAATTAGATTGCTTATTTTATAATATTATCTAAGAACTCTTGAAAAATCTTTATAATATTATAGAACTTATAAAGTCTTTTAAATTCTTTTAAATTTAAATATTAATAAAAATATTAATTCTTAAGAGAAAAGATATATAATAAAATTAATATTTAGTTTATAAATTATTATTACATTATATACTATATTATATATAAGAAAAGTTATATGATATAATAAGTTATTTTAATTATAAAGATATTCTTAATAAAAATTCTTTTTACTTTTATTCTACTAATATAGCTAGTATATTGCTCTTTTTATTTTTATTATTTATAATTATTTATTCTTATAATCATCTATTAATAAGTATCTTTCAGAGATACTATTATTTAAGTAATTAATTATTATTAATTTCATATAATCATAATTTATTATTTAAAGATGCTGTATTTTTAACAACTATAATTTATAATAAAGTTTAAGTTTTTATTAAAATAATTTGTTTGTCTTTGACTTGATTTTCTGTGTGAATCTCTTATCAATATCTTTATTATTATCTTGACTTTCTTTATAAATTTCTTGATAATCTATAACATATAATTAGAAAATTTAAAAGTTATTAAATTATAAGAATTAATTTAAAATTAATAAAAATAGTCGAAATTCTTAAAATTTTGAAATTGATCTCTTTAAAAAAGTCAAAGTTAAAAAATCTTTAATATTTTTTGAACAATTCTCTTTTATCTATCATTATAAACGTTATTTTTAATATTATACAAATAATTGATATTAGAAATTAAAATATATTACCATAGAAAAATGCAAGTATAAAAGTTTAGTAACTATAATTTTGATTATGTAGTTTTTTTCGTATAAAAATCTCGGTGCATATTCGTTATACTTACAATCAGATTTCTGCCATATCTAATTAAATGCAACCATTCCAAATGCATCCTTTGGGACCATAAGACTAATCTGATAAAATGTGCATTTAAGCCCTATAAGCTTGGGACTGAACTAGAGCATTTAAAGATAGGGAAGTCTGACTGTGGAATCATATTGTACATTTTTGGACGATCCCATTATATTTACTCCATACTGGATGTATTTTCGGGTCAAGCAAAGAAAGTTTAGTAGGTATGTCATATTCACTACCCTCTTTATCCTGAACCGATAGTTAACCGTTTCCGATCTGTGGTTATGGCATACTAGTCACTATGCCATACTTTGACCCGACAACAATATAAACTTTAACGATATCCATTTTTTCTTAGAATTTCCAGAATAATGCGATAAACGCGTGTTAAATTTATTCACATTCATAAATTTTCACTCTCAAAAACTGAGAGGTTGCACTTTTTTATTTAGATTAAAGAGGAATAGCTATAAGTTCAATGATTGATGATATCTATTTACACGATAAAGGGTATTACAATGATTAATCATAAAAAAGATGACAATGATTAAAACAAATTATTTGTAGTTGGTTATTAAGGATGCGCGTAATTACTGAATACTATAAGATTGTGCAATTCCAAAGTAATCAATTGGAATAAAGATTAGAATAAAAATACAAGAATTTTGAAAACGGTAATCGTAACAGATGTTACAATTCCGTGAAAAATTCCAAAAATAAAGATAGGTAGATATTAACAATCAATACATAAACAGATTATTACTCCTGTTTCATTTATGAGACAATGCTTTCTTGCTTTATTTGTGCTTCACTTCCGTCCATGCTACCATAATCATTTCCATTGGTCATATTGGTCATTACAGACTCATCATCATCATCGTCGGGACTTTCTTGTTTAATTAGGGCCTTTGGGTGAAATCTGGATGGAGCATCATCATCGAGCCAGCGTTGCATCACGTATTTTGTGCACTTCTCAGCGCCGGGAAGTTCCTAGATTTTTTTTTTAATATATCAACTTAATTTTTCTACTTAATAATCAAAACAAAAGCTTGATCAATCAATGTACCTGGATATATTTAGTAATTCCCAAATGGCTCAATCCTAACATTTCAGGTCCACTGGCATGAGTTTTTGATGGAACACCCTGAACATTAATTTCGTCCAAAATCTTTTTCCATACACCACTTGATGAACTAGCCACAAATTTTCTACCTGGTTGATCTTCAGCAATTACCTGAAACTTATTTAGAAAAATCAATTGATTACGCGATAAATTACTATTCTTGTTATAAAGATCGATAATACACGATTTATTTGTCACTTACAATGGGATTATCGCCTCCATCCAAAATTTCACTGGTGTATGTTGTTCTTCTTGTCACATCCACAGCACTTAAGTATTGTTTTTTACTCATAAAACCAACGGGGAAGATATAACGATTTGTATGATACGCTTCACGATCCCAAACGATGTGACCTATTTATAGTAAAATATGAATTTTCAGCTGACTTCTGAATCTCTAACAATTTTCGTGTTTATCTTCACTAACCAATTCTAAATATAGTCACTTCGTTGGTTCCTTTGCCGATAGTGACAGGCAATTTAAGAGTTCCGTCTAAATTCATGGGTAAAGGCTAAATGAAGAATAAATAATTTAATGAGGGATAATTTAAAAGAAAATATATACGGAAAAATCTGTACCTCAACTCGTTTAGCGTCAGTACGATCATCTCGTTTTTTTTTCTATCATTAGAGCAATAAATGGAAAAACATTTAATGTTAAAAAGGAGAAAGACGAATCTCAATTTGATAAATGATTACCAAGCTTGGTGCAGTTGGCGTTCTTGCTTTACGCTTTTTGGGCAATGGATCTTCGGCATTTAGAGCTTCGTCAGCCTATACAAATTCAATGCTTTGTAAAACATTCTACCCAAATGGAAATGATTAATGATGTAGAAAGCGTTTACTTTGCGTTTTGCTGAATTCCGTGAGCCTGAATTTTGTGAGGGAGAACGGCTTTTTTTGGGGGATGTCTGTCTACTATTACCATTATTGTTGGTGGTGGTGTTGCTGTTGTTGTTGTTGGTGGTGGTGGTGTTGTTGTTGTTAGGGTTGTTGGTGGTGGTGGTGCTTGTGCTGGTACTGGTGTTGCTGTTGTTATTATTTCGTGGTATAGACTTAGAGGGTCCTGGTAATTTATAGAGAATTAAATTAAACGAAAGAAAAGAATATCAAAAAATGCAAATCATTAAACAAGCAAAGATAAGAACCATATCGGCTACCCGTAGCCTTAGGATTAGATTCATCCTCATCGCTGGTTACATCAGATAGCACACCTTCCTCGGAAGAAGAGCTACTATTGCGTGTTTAAATAGAAAGTGAACAAATCAGCGATGTGAGGTGAAATGGATCCACGCGATATTGAAATTTAACGCACGCAAATATTATCCATGATGGTGGCCGTACTTTGATAAATCATCGGCGAGTGTGGGATTCATATCCATCATTAGATCAAGGAGGTGACTGGGAAACGGTGATTTGTCGAATGCGCACGCGTTTTGAATTGATTACTATTAGATCTCTTGGAGATTTGTGGAAAGGAATTCTCAAGAATGATTCCACCTACTTGTTTTCTTCCTTTAGCTTACGCATTTTGTGTTTTGTAAGGTCTAAGCTGTGTTTCAATTCATCTCGTTGCTGGTCAAGAAATGGGGAAAAAAATTTAGCCCCAAATAAAAACGAAATTATACGCGTTTTAACGTGTAAAAATCACCTTGTTGAGGTTGTCAAACTTTTCCCGAAGCCTATAATACTTTTCCCTGAAAAATCGTGAGTCAGTCATTCTTCAGCCTGTCGAACACGAGAAACGGAGGCAAAGGAACGACTAAAAAGCGCAATAAATGTATAATAATACGGAAAAATCAGATTTTATGTTTGGTCTTTGTTTATCGTATCTCGTCCGTGTGATTGGCTGGATAAGATTTTCTTTGACTAAAAAAAAAAAAAGGTGGGTTTTTTACATGTGTTGTGTGTGATTTTGATGATGATCCTTGATTTTATCGAATTATGGGTTGGTTTCGCTGTTTCTCAATTAAAATTGGAAAGGAGCGCGAAAGTGTGTAAAATCCAAGTGTGAGAAAAAAAAATTGGTGAATTTGTTGCCTTTATAAGAAACGCGAACTGTATTCTCGCTGGTAACGTGGAAAGCAGCAGCTTTAAACATAAAGCATAAATGAAACAAATTTACGTGTATTATTTATTATTAATATTAAAAAGATGATGACAGATTAATTAAGTCAGTTTTAATCACATAATATAAAATTAGTATAATAATAATAATATATATATTACTTTGTAATAATTTCATCATCAAATAAAAAAGCGGCATATCTCTTCGCCGCACTAGGCGAAAATTCAATAGTCGCTACAATAACGATTATGATAACAATTAGACGAGGATCAAAGCCAAGATACACATGTGAAACAAAACTTAAAAAGCCACGTTGAGAATGCGTGTAATCCTCGTGCAAACTTTTAATTATTTATTTTTTGAACGCTACTACCGAACATACATGTCAAAGACCTTCATCATGCATTAATTATATGTAGAAGCTATTCATTCTATCTCGCATTCTTCTCCAAATGCTAGCTGGTCATCGATACTCCTGGTGAAAGTTTTTTTTTCATTCTTCTCCTTCTTGCTGTTTCTCTTGCCGATTTCCCGCTCATTTTTCATTTGAATGCGCATGCAGCTAACTTTCCATTTAGAACTTTATTGAGTAACTAACAAGTTTTACGTGCGTTTCTCTAGGAACCGATCGTGAACGAAAACCAGATATTAATCAAAATAATCTCATTCTATCATTCACTCGCTAATTTAGCGAAAAAACATAATAAGCGAAGTTTTGTATTCAAAAGCGAGACGTCTCTGTATCGTTATTATTTTAAAAGTTGTGCGACATTCATTCCGACAGATTCATTATGGGAGATCTTTTTGGTAGGTTCCGATGATGATTCGCAATATACATGCATTTTAAAAATATCACAATTTTTAAATCGATAATAACTGGGCGAGAGGTTCTGCCGAGAATCGAACTCGGATTACAGGATTCAAAGTCCTGGGTGCTAACCATTACACCACAGAACCTTACCTTGTTCAATTTACCCTTTAAAAAAATTCTTATCAACTATTTTAAATGCCAGCCAGCATTAATATTTTTTAGCATACACTTTTATGGATACATGAACATGTATAATCATTGTTGTTTTATCATCAATTTCAAAATTTTTTTTAATAACATGCACAATCTCACAAGATCTCGCTCGTACGAATACAATCATGAAAAAAATAAAGATCAAAAAGCGGGAGAATAAATTAAGGAGTAACTTGATTAAAAATAAAATAAGAATTTATTCAGTATCCATGGGAGCCTCTCCTTGACTAGCGGCGGTAGCTTGATCATCAGTTCCTTGCGGTCCAAGCATATCCAAATAACGTTGCAGAGCATCACCTTGGATCAATTCGAACTTTTGATCTTGACCAACAATACCAATCGAGCAGTTGAGTGTGTTTAGTTCCTTGTCTTGCTGCAACGTTGCGTGAAGTGCATGGAGCCCATGTACGATAAGTTCATCAACATCGGCTATTTGTTTACATGATATACATGATTATTATTATTATTGTTGTTATCATCATAGTAGTACGAATGTTATTATGTTTGGTGGTACAAATGGGAGAATATTTAATTAATATAATTAATATACCATCAGCAAATGATTCATAATGATTTTCGAGATAAGTTTTCGCTGATTGCGATCGACCTCCGATTGAAATGGCATAATATTCGAGAAAGTTGCCAGATGGAGAAGTTTCATATAAATGTGGACCAGTTTCCTTAAATTAAGAAGAAGAAGGTCGAACGATATGTTAGTTTCAAGTTGTAGTAACTAGAGCTCTAATCAGCGAGTCAGCCACAAAGATGATAATAAGATTGGCTTACATCGATTCCAATGACCAAAAGGCCAACGCCATACGGTCGACGACCATAATTCTGCGTATTTACTTGAGCCTCTATTTTCATATATTTATGAATTAGTCATCTTGAAACAAAAGGAGAGAAAGGAACGACTAATTGGATTGATCACGACGTACTATCACCGATTGCCGAAACGATTCGATACAGGGGTAAAGGTCGGTTATACATAATCTTAGACTTCATAGCCTCTGTACGCATGAAATTGCTAACAACAAGTCCGGTCGATGATAATAATAAGATGATGGATCGAAGTCCTACATTAACGAGAAAATCAAACACACAACCAACCTTAACACCCGAGCATCCGAAGTCAATCCAGCAATTGCTATGCCTATATGATCATCCACGCGAATTAATTTGTTTTGATATGAGGCGAGTTCGCCTGAAGATCTCTAAAATATAAGATCTCGATTAAATATGCTTATTGGCGAAATTAACTGAATTTTTTATTCATGAACGAGCACCTTTAATGCCAGCAGTATAGCATGGGTCTTTGAGCGCAAACCAACAGCTGCAGACCCTTGTTTCACAGCTTCCAAGGCATATTCTACTTGATAGATACGACCTTGGGGACTCCAAGTAGAAATATCATTATCGTATTGATTTCTATTCTAAGTAATAAAGTTATTGAATCAAACATAGTCATTAGTATCATGAATTTTTGACTATTGAACATGTGAAAATTAATTATTTACCATTATATATATATATATATATTCGTTTGAGAGGATAGTATTATCAAAAAAAAATTAGCTTTGATGTGGACGGTACGTCAGCAGTGCAGATCGTTTATGTGGTTCTCAGCTAGCCAATCGTCGACAACACGGTAGACCACCAATAAGATCTACATTTTTTTAACCTGGAAAAGTTAGTGTTATATATACTGCCAAAAAAAAAAAATTGATGACCAAAAAAAAAATTGATGACCAAAAAAAAAATTGATGACCAAAAAAAAAAGAAGTAGCGGCGGCGTTCTATAAAAGGTGAGGAAAACTTTATTGTTCCTTAATTCGGAATAGAACGTCTGTTCATCAAAGGATTAGATCCCAAAAACGCGTTTTTATTTTTTTTATTCTTGTAATTGTCGTAGCTAACATATATTTATATGTCTATATATGATATAAACGATATACATATATATATACGTAAATGTATATTGAATGAATTAAACAAGCAAAACCAGTTGAAGCAATATAAAGCACAAACATCTGAACAGTACCAAAATGTGTCATAAAAGACAAAAAAGATATAAATTGATATGGGATTTCTTCTCACAAAGAAAAAATTATCTGTTATTGTGCTTTTTTTTCCCTGTGTACATTTGCGCTTTCGTTATATCGTGCTAGGGGATTGATTGCAAGCTAATCCCCTCTCTTCATTTATTGATTATTCACTCAAATTAGCGATTACAACGAGATAAGAAAGAGGAACGAACAAAAAAAGAAAGAGCCGGACAAAAGGAAGAGAAATAGGGATTTTTTAATCTGTTATGTATTGTCGCGCGTTTATGATGCTCTTGATGTTGTTA